TTTAAGGCTTTGGATCCCGCCATCCCTTCTCTTCTGTCTCCTTGGTGTATTTGTACGGTGAGTATTCAACTCTAGCACTTTCAAAGTTGTGCTGGCACTACAACCTTTGGATGCTGTTTTACCTTCTGGTAACAGCAGCAAACCTGGTATAGAGTGGCCTGCAGGGAACAGCTTTGTGCTATCCCCGGAGGCCTGAATCTGCTGGAGTGAGTGTGCAATCCCAGCTTTATTAAGAACTTTTTGATCTTGCTTCAGTTTCTGCTCCAATGTGGGTACAAACTTGCTTTTTAAAACCCTCCGGATCACATCGGTGCTGACATCAAAGCCTTCAGCCAATCTTGGAACTGACCAGGACTCAGCAAATTCCTTATGTAAATACCTATGGGAAGAGGAGTTTTTCAAACTGTAAAATTTTTTATCAGAATACCAAAGCCAACCCACTGCCTTCAAGTTAGTTCTGACTCTCTGTGGCCCCGAAGGTAGAGTAGAATTGCCCCAGATGGTCTGCCAGGCTTATGAAAAACCTTATGGAAGCATTCTCATCCTGTGGAGTGGCTGGCAAGTTCAAACCACTAAGCTTTTGGTTAGCAGCCAAAATCTTTACCCACAGCACACGATAAGGGCTTCAGTCTATCAAAATTGTTAACTAATTCTACTAGTGATAAACAGGTGAAAAGATGAGTTGAAAAAATTGCCAACATCCTCATTATGGGTAAGCTAAATTACTTCTATTTATATGTACCACTACCACCACCACAGCCAAACTACTGAGTAAGTTCACATTACTTCATATTAACTGAATTCCTTCTACTGACTCCATGTTAACTTTCTCGGGATACTGAGAACACCCAGTAGGGGCACATAACTTGGTGGTGGAGAGATGTACTAACCACGTGGGATTATAGTAGAAGATGCTGAGAAGACCCAGAGACAGGCAATCATGACCTAGAAACTTCTTTAAGTCCAAGTAAGAGCTAGTCTGAAAAGATGAAAAGGAGTGCTAAGTTGGTGAAAGAAGGAAAGAAAGGAGTTCTGATGATAGAATGTGAAATTCAAAGCAGTGTATCACTTTGTTCAGAGTAACTAAAATTGGCTGATGGTGGGAGTAAGAGAAAGGTTATGTCATGCTGGGGAATTCAGAGTTTATCCCAGGGCAAAAAGGAACCAAGGAAGGATGTTTAAGTAATAGAACCGTTAAGGGGAGCTCTGGTGGCCTAGTGGCAAGAAGCTGCACTGCAATCCCAGAGGCGCAAGGTTCAAATCCACCAGATGCTCTGCCGGGGAAGGAGGGACAATCTCCTCCTGTACCAGTAAGATCTGATTTGACGGTACACGCGCGCACACACACAAAATAAATATTTTTTTAAAAAAAGTAATAGAACAGTAACTGCATATTTTATTTTAAAGGTCTGGTGGTAGTCTTTTCAGTTGCAAACACAGAGCTAGAAAGATCATATAAGGGGTTGAAGAAAGAAGTATTAACTGATGTAGTACCTGTGAGAACAGAGGTGTGAAGAGAGTAAAAAATATTTTAAGAAGGCTAAAAGGTAGACCTTGGTGAGGAAATAAATATTAAGAGACGAAGTGTCAAGGCTTGCTTGGACGCAGGATATTTACGTGTTATGGCTGGGATTCAGGATTTTAGATTAGACAAATAGTGGGACCATTCAGCAAGATAGAGCAAACGAATGGAATTAAGTTGCTGGCAAACAATGACAAGTTCTATTCCATACAGGCATAGTTTGAGCAACCTGTTTGACATGAAGAGATGCCTAGTACACTGCTGAATAAAGATCCAAAGTTCAGAAACAATGAGGGAGATGAAAGTTTTGGATATTGTAATCCTACAGGAGTGTGGTTGAAGCCATACTAAATGACTGGACTAGGTAGCAAAGCATGCAGAATGAGGTAAGAAAATCTGTAACTCTAAAAGGCATCAAAGGGAGCCCAAAAAGCAGGAAAATAAAGAAAATGGTACTCTGATGTCAAAAGAGTAAGGAATTTTTAAAAAGTGGTCTCTCAGATCAATGCTGAAAAACACTGAGGAGAATAAAGACAAGAATGTCAGTTGAGTCTAGACTGAGGAAAGCACTTATGGAGAGCAGTTTTACTACTCTGAATGGGGAGAAGAATAGAGCTTGGGAGTCATCATAGAGCCACAAAGTTTGAGAAAGAGCTTTAGAGATGTGTGTCTCTGAGAAAGTAAATGGGGAGACAACTTAGAATACAGAGGATTGGTTCTACACATAAGAAAATGGCAACTACTTCCTGAGCTGTAAGTACATAATCATTTAATATGTGCCACTGAGTCAGAAACAACTCCTAGATGGCCCTCCCATGGGTATTCAGAAGGTCTAAGTCCTCAGGAGGAGATTATCTTTCTCCCATGGAGCAAATGGTGGATTCAAATTGTCTGCTTTTGCAGTTAGAAACAGGCCCCTTCCCTCTAGGCTATGAGGGTTCCCCTACATAATTTGGTGCAGGCAAGTTTTGGAATGCAAGAAGGAAGATCAAGAATTTGCTAAGTTCTTAACAGTCTTTGTTTTTAAGTAAAGGCATATTTGAGGACCACAAAAAGTGGTAGAGGTGTTATGTATCAAATTGCAAGGTTCCAAAAGTAGTTGTTCAAGACAACAGAGGGCTAGGGAGCTTTGGTGGCCTAGTGGCAAGAAGCTGCGCTGAAATCCCAAAGGTGCACTGGTCGAATACACCAGATGCTCTGCTAGAGGAGGGGCAATCTCCTCCTGTGCCAGTCGGATCCAAGGGTACACCACAACAAAAAGACAATATAGAGGATGTGAAAGACACCTACAAGATTAAAGATCACAAAATCCTCTTTATTCTAAATCTCAATTTCAGCATCATTCAAATGAGAATGTAAAATGGCATATAACTTATGGGAGGGCTATTTAGCAACATTTCCCAAAATTGATAATCTAGCTTTCCTCTCATCCAGAAGTCCTAATTCTTGGAATGTACTCACAAATACAGACAGGGAGAACAATGTATGTACAAAGGAGTATCCTTCATAATTTTTAGAGTAGAAAAGACCCCATCATGAAATAATGGTTAAATATTGTTACTATGTCTCTTTAAAAAAAATAAAAGATGGGGCACTCATGCCTCACAGAATAAAGATATTTAAAAGGGGGGGGAAGCTAAGTGTAGAATGGTACTCATAAATCATGTCTTTGAATTGTGGTGTTGGTGAAGAATACCCTATGACTGCCAAGAGAACAAATCTGTCTTGAAGGAAATGCAACCAGAGGCAAGTATGATAAAACGTTTCAGTTTCACTTACATCTCCTATTTTCAGGGGGGGTTCAGCCCTTGGAGAAAGTCATCAAGATGAGAAAGGCAGCGGGTTAATAAAAGAGATGAAGATCCTCAACGAGACAGACTGATAAGTGACAATGGGCTTGAGAATGACAGAGGGGATGAGAATGATGCAGAACAGGACAAAGTTCAGATCTATTGTTCTAAATGGCACCTAACAACTGTGACTTTATTTTAGTCACTGAACAGAACAAATGCTCTGTATGATCTTTGTAAATCTTCACTTTTGTAAAGATTTACAGCTTCTTAGAACTAAGGAGCTTTTAAGTAAAACCCTATGAGAATACTTTCTTATATTTGCACAGGGAGACCTGAAGAGGACTCAAAAAAATCCCTAATGGATATAGTAACCACAGCAAAGGAAGCAGCAAATTCAATGTGCACACTGTGTGTTCTCAGTATGTATACTGTCTCGCTTTTGAGTCATTACGAAAGGTACTACTCTACTGGGGAAAAAAAAATCAACAATGATTTGACTTTTACAAGTACTCCTTTAAAATTTTTCAGGTTACTGGCTCATGTCTTCAGGAAAACGCTCGGGACTAGGGAAACCTCGTTCAGATCTTAGGTTAAAGCATCATGATCTATTTAAGGGTTAAATGTTGAGGTGTCTGGAATTTGCCTTTTAAAAGGTGTAGGGAGGAAAATATACGCCACGCACAATCGCCCTTTTCGGCAAAAATGAACGAAATGAGTCATGGGGTTGTTTTCTGCCTTTGCGGGAAGGACCCTCGGGGCGACCCTAGGACCTGTGAAAGCTAAGGGATCGATGGCGGTTCACGTCATTATTCTACTTTTGCTCTGCACACTTCCTATAAGCAGCTTAAGCCGCCCCGCAGTCGCCCGTGACCGCGGCCCGTCTCACCGGATCTGCTCCATGGCCTCCCGCGTCAGGGTCCTGGGCGGGGCACCCGGCGCCTCCATTTGTCTCCGAATTTTCTGGAACCGGATTGCTTTTTTCTGTCGTTTCAGGGCGCTGAGGGAGAACAAGAGCAGAGGGCATGCGTGGAAGCAAACGAGGCGGCGGCAGAGCCTCAGGCAAATCAGCAGGCGCCCAGCCCCTCCTCTCTGAGCGAGGGTCGCCACCGGGGCGGGAACTGCTCGGGTTCGAGTCTCAAAAATCTAACAGAACGGTAACGGCCCGGAAGCATGCCGAACGCTAGAAACGAGTGGGGAAGGGACGCGGGCCCCCGCGCCGCAAACAGCAAGTGAGAAGAAACAGGGGCCGCGGGGGCTGCCGGGGCGCGGGGCCCTCCTCAGGCCGAGGGCCCGGGAAGGAGCCGGTACCTCTCCACTTCCTGCAGCTCCCGCTCCTCGGGCTCCCAGTCGGAATCAGGGTCCGGTTCGCGGCCGACAGGGCCCGAGCCCGCCGCCCCCCGGGTCGCAAACCCACAGCGAGCAACAGCGGCGCGGAGACGCCCGCCCAGAAACACGCTGGGAGAGACCGCCATGACGACCGAGTGAGCCCGTCTGCAGAGCCGGACGCCGCGGCACCGGAAGCGAGGAGGCGGGACCGGAAGTAGCAGCCGCGCGCGCGCGTCCTCCTAGCTTCGCGAGGGTGGGGGCGGGGCGGCATGTGTAAACAGAAACGTCTGTGCACGTGAGGGGGAGGCGTCCCCAAACACAGACAATGACGGTCCTGGAAAACGTTATAGAACTTTAATAAAAGATGGGTCCGGTTGCCAAGACTTCCCTCCCCAGCCCGCCACCCAGGTCGACCTGTGCCTCTGCCACAGGGGGATGGCAACTGGCAGGTGTTTTGGGCACACAGCCCCTCTGGACAAAGCATTTCTGGTTGATCGCGATGACCTCTAATCCCAAACTGCACCCAGGGTTCAGATCATCACCTAGCGGTAAACCCAGACTCAAGCTTGAAAGGCCAAGGCTTCTCTTCGTCTTTCAGTCTTTAGGGATTCCAAAATAAATCTCAAGGGTGTAGAAAGAGAGTGTCTTGGCATCTTTGCATCTTGCCTTGTGCAAAGAGGGTTCCTGGTGAGGACTTTTCAAACTGGAGCTTGGCAGTCTTTCATGTAGCAAAGGTCCTTTGTCCCTTTGGGAACCTGTGTGAGTTCTCCAAGGAGATGATGGGTCCTGGGCTGGCTTCCTGCTTTTTACCTGGGCTGGATGATGTTAAGGAGTGTGCCGGGACGCTGCTGCCCAGGTGCAGAGGCAGGGTACAGGGTGAAGTCTCCATCCTTGGCTGCCCTGTGCGGAGAGTCCACCATGGAGGGCAAGGTCCAAGGATTACTTGCCACTCTTCCTGGGCACTTAAGATAGCCCTGCTTCGCAGTTAAAGAGGGTGGCACCGATCTGGCTAGGACGTGGTTTATGGCTTCTAGCCTTCTGCTGGCTTGTCCTTCTGCAGTAGAAACATGAGTTCCCCTGAGCTGGTGCACACAGAAGAGCTTCACCTCATCTCTCCCCTAGCTAAGACCCAACACAGGAATGGCAGACATCTCATGCTTCCCTTCAGCATTGCTCTGTGCTGCAATTGCACTCTCTCTATTTTTTTAGCCCAGTGACTGTATATTTTTACCATTTTTATCACTTGAAACTAGTAAATAAAATGCAACAATCCCACTGCAATCAGTTCCAATTCATAGCAACCCTAGAGGACAAACTAAAGCGGCCTCATCTGGTTTCCAAGGCTGTAACTCTTTATAACACTGGGCTCCATCTTTCTGCTCTGAGGGGAATTGGGTGGGCTCAAACTTACTTCATCTGCAGAACCAAGTGGGCTCAAAATCTTCTTGTTCTTTCATTCTGTTGAGTCAGAATCTACATATAGCTGACCCTCCACTGAGAGTTCAGAGGCAATAAATCACATTGGAAAAGATTGTTCATCTTTCTCCTACAGGGCAGCTGGTGGATTCCTACCATCTGCCTTTGGGTTAGCAGCACAACTCCTTATCCACTAGGCCACCAGAACTCTCTCCTCCTAGAGTCTGTTATGTTGTTGTTAAGTGCTGTCAAGTCAAGCTCAACTCATAGTGACCCAATAAACAAAAAACCTGAACCCTGTACTATAACTATCATCATTTCTCTATGTTTATAGAGTTTCCATTGGCATGTGGTTTAGGAGATAGATGCCACTCCTGCTTCCAAACCTGAATCAATCTGGGAACTTCTTCAAATACTGTCCATGATGGGTAGCCATTATGGCGTTTTGACATGCCGGTGGCACAGCATTCAGCATCAGTTCAACCCCAAGTTACTCCATTATAGCAAACTAACAGACCAGTGCTGTAACACTTAGATGAATATTCATCCAAAACACTCCACCTAAAGTCTGGAAGGAAGAAAATAAACAGATCTGCTACCTTTCCTATTCCTACACCCACTCCTAGAGTGCTATATTTTGAGAGCATCCCAGCTGAAACATTGATGCATTTCATATACTTACGGCAAGCGAATGAGATTCTGGCATTGGGAAAGCAGCGCCTCCCAAATCTCTTCATTAACAGGGAACAGGGTCCTTTGACTGTTGGTTCTGTCCAGTTGTAGGTCTTAGGCAGTAGATGATACTGCGGATGATGTGGAACTGCAGCATTCATGCTTGGTAGTGGCTCTAAGATCCTGGGAATCAATTCATGGGTCGGGACTGGACGCAGGAAATGAGGAAGACCTTGGTCTTTGGAGGCCCCTCTCAAGAATACCAGTGGGACCAGACTCATAGATTGCAGTTCTTGACTGCCCAGCCCATCCTGGGATAATCTAGGCTAAAGGAGAAGAGCAGCCCCTTACATTTATTTTGAGGTTGGAAGAAATAGGTAACAAAGCAAAAAACTTGTTGTAGATTATAGCCACAACTATTTTAACTACTTACTTCATTGAGGCTCAGCAGAAAAACCACATGAATTTGCTACCAGCCCAAGGACTAGTGAATGCAGCACCCGTTTTGTTGGTTTAAGGCTGTGTATTTATCTCCCATTAGAACCACTGGCAGTTACAGGGAGAGAATTACACAGAAGCCACAGAGAAGGGTGTTGGGCCTTGCTATTTGTCAGCCTTGAATTTTGAATTATTATTTTGAGATGGAGTAGAAGGGTGGTGAGCCTTTTTATTTGTCATCCACGAGTTCTAAATTAAAATTTTGAGACAAAAGTATACATGGAAAAATCTGTTCTAAGTGAGGAGGTACTGAAAAGCAGTGAAATCAATCTGGAGACTAAGGTGTGCATGATCCAGGCCCTAGTCTTCACAATTAACTTGCTATGCATCAGAGAGCTGGACAATGACATGGGAGTATAGAAGAAGCTGTGGTGCTTGAGAAGAGTATTGAATATACCATGGACTTCCAGGAGAATAAACATGTTCATCCTAGAGAGGATAAAACCAGGTTGCTCCTTGGAGGCAAAGATTCTGATGCTTCGTCTAAAATACTTTGGGCATGCTGCAAAGAGGGACCAGTCCTTGGAGAGGGACATCATGCTTGGAAAGGTGGAGAGAAAGCAAGGAAGACCATCAATGAGATGGACTGATTCAGTGACTGGGGTAATGAGGGTAGATGTGTCAGAGACAATAAGGTTGGCAAAGGATAGAGCAAGTTTCAGGGCTATTGTACATAGGGTCAATATGAGTCGCAAGCAACTTGATGGCACATAACCACAACAACAAGTGAGGAGGTTGGGAGCTGCACTGTGCTGGATGGGATACCAGAAACAAAGGAGTTTGACCCTCTCCCAAGGCCCAGCATGCATTGTTTTCCTAGATTCCACTTCCCAACGCCATCACTTTAGCCTCCTGTAACATGACCACATCCATGTGCCAATATCATAACCCTCGTTCCCTTGTTCTGTGGGAGGCTTCAGAAGGATCCTCACCCTATATGCATATAATTTTCTCTGGACTGCCTGGTTGGGATGCAGCATGCGGCTGAGCAGCTCTGTAATACCAAGGCTTCGAATGAGCTTCTCCCTTTGTAATAGGGCCTTGGTCCTTTCCCTCTCCTCCTCTTCCACAATTTCCTGAGGCTGCATCGTGTCCTGGTGTACCGGCAGCAGCTACAAGAAACATGAAAGATAAATGCAAGATCATCAAGGCCAAGTCTCAGATCATCAGGAAGGACGGTTACAACATCCCTGCCCAGTCTACTTCTGTCCACTCCCTGGCCTTAGTGCACGTTACTCACACCATTTCATCCTGTTACTCTTGACCCTTTGCTCTCCATTCTCTCGCCACCATTCCAAAAAGATCAAATTTAACTTATGGACTGATCACCCATCTCTCTCTTGTGCAATGGCAGGAAGTGGGGCGGAGGACCGCTGATGCCCTTCTCTACTAGGAGCAGCCAATTTTCCTGCCAAAACCAGCATTAACCACAAAACCCTTGGCACCTGTTTATCCTGGGTCTGGTTCCTGTAAACCAGCTGGGTGAAAAGGCCTTGAGGCACTGCCCTGGGTCGGCTCTTCTCCCCTGCTGATTCCCCCTGGTTCTGGTCTTTGTTTTCCTTTCTTTTCTTAATGTCCGCATTCTCCTGCTGTTCCTGCTTTAGGCGGATCTCTTCCAGTTGCTGCCTGACAAGACACAGGAGCTTCAGACATTGGAGAAATTGTGTTGGGGAAAAGGAAATAAGGGAAAGCAGGGATGAGGAAAGAGGAAGAAATTATGTTCTTTTCTTGGAAGAGGAATAAGGGGTAAATGAGAGACCTGGTAAATTGAAAAAGTCATTAGGAGTCTGATAAAATGTATAGCTCCATTCTTTTTTTCCTTGCTTGTCTGCTTCTGACTCCACTGTGCTATGAATTTGCTCCTACTCAAGAGCTCTGGTGGCCTAGGGTGTAAGGAATTGCATTGCCAGCACAAAGGCAGGTCATTCTAATCCACCAGCTGCTCCACAGGAGAAAGATGGGCCATCTCCTGCCATGTGACTTATAGCCACTGAAAACATGCTGAGGATCGGCTATGAATTGGTTCCCTCGCAACAACAAATAACAAAGATAACAAGTGTACAGAGAGAAAAATACTGAGATCACATCCTGACTTGTTGACCAAAGTACCTGGCACATTCCTCTCTGGCTTTGGAAGCAGCAGTCTCATGGAAGAGGGAGCTGTTGTGCTTGAAGAAGGGTGCATACTTCTCTGTATCCGATCCAGGGTAGATCCGTCGGTATCCCCCCAGGTGGGAATCCTCATATTGTTCCTGGTCCTGCAAGGCTGCATAGAACGATTGAGTTTGTTCTCGCCTGTGGAAACCAAGCTCAGTGTGAGTTAGAAGCAGACTACTAGCTTCCTGGCCTTCAGGGGCCCCTGCCTGCACAGGTAGTAAATGTTGCCCAGTCCATCTTTGGCCATGCTCCCCAAGGTACAGTTAGAAAACTAGCATTCAAAAATCTAACTAACTAAAAAACTAACTTCCAAAAATCTGCTTTGCATCTTAAGTGCCGAGGAGTATACTCACAAACTAGCACTCCAGTTTACCACAAATTTTGAGGTTTCTGGTCATGAGCATAATAGATATTTGTTATAGAATATTTAGAGGCACATAAAGTAAAGATGTTGTTGTTGTTGTTATGTGCCGTCGAGTCGTTTCCGACTCATAGCGACCTTATGCACAACAGCCCTAAACCCTGCTCTATCCTGCGCCAACCGCACCGCCTCTGACACACCCATCCCGATTACCCCAGTCACCGAATCAATCCATCTCATAGAGGGTCTTCCCCTCCTGCGCTGTCCCTCCACCCTCCCAAGCATGATGTCCCTCTCCAAGGACCCGTCCCTCCTGGCAACATGTCCAAAGTATGTCAGATGAAGCCCCAGAATCCTTGCCTCCAAGGAGTAGCTTGGCTTAATCCTCTCCAAGATGAATCTGTTTGTTTTCCTGGCAGTCCAGGGTACATTCAGTACCCTTCTCCAACACCACAGCTCAAAAGCATCCACTCTCCTTCTGTCCTCCCTAGTCATTGTCCAACTCTCTGATGCATAGCAAGCGATTGCAAAGACCATGGCCTGTATCAGGCGCACCTTAGTCTCCAGAAAGACACTGTTGCTCCTGAGTACCTTTGAGAGGTCCCTAACAGCAGACTTTCCCATCGTGATACGCTTTTTGATTTCCTGACTGCTGGTACCAAGAGTGTTGACTGTGGAGCCGAGCAAACTGAAGCTGTGAACACTCTCAATCTCTTCGTCATCCATCCTGACGCTGCTAATTGGTCCAGTGGCGAGAATCTTTGTCTTCTTGACATTGAGCCTTAGTCCATACTGAAGGCTGCAGTCCTTGACCCTTCACAGCAAGTGCATGAGGTCCTCCTCAGTTTCAGCAAGCAGGGTTGTGTCATCTGCATAACACAGATTGATAATAGATCTTCCACCAATCCTGATGCCACAATTCTCCTCATAGAGCCCAGCCTCTCGGATCATCTGCTCTGCATACATGTTGAAAAGGTATGGAGACAGGATGCATCCCTGGCGTACACCCTTCCCAATTTTGAACCATGCAGTGTTACCCTGCTCTGTTCTGACTACTGCCATATATTAGAACAGCACATCAGCAGAGAACTGCCGGAAGTCCAGGCTGGGTTTAGAAGGGGTCGTGGTACTAGGGATATTGTTGCTGATGTTAGATGGATCTTGGCTGAAAGCAGAGAATACCAGAAGAATGTCTATCTGTGTTTCATTGATTATGCAAAGGCATTTGACTGTGTGGATCATAACAAACTGTGGCTGACTCTGAGAAGAATGGGAATCCCAGAATATTTAATTGTGCTAATACGAAACCTAAAGTAAAGATAGAGGTGCAGAAAGCTGAAGCAGGATTCACAGCTCTCATCATTCAAAAAAATCAACTCAAGGTGGATCAGAAACCTGGGAGTAAAGCCCCAAACCATAAAGATCATAAGAGACAAAGCAGAACCAAGCTTAGGAGGCCCAACTTATAGTATAAATACACAACCAGGAGAGGATAAAGTTGATTAATGGGACCTTCTAAAGTTTAAATCCCTGTGTGCATCAAAAACATTTTCCAACAGAGTGAAAACTTAACTGACTGCGGAAAAAACATTTGTCAATACTATTTCAGACAAGGGTATCATATCAACAGTTTATATAATCTCATAGGGACTCCACAAGAAAAAGACTGATAACTCAATTACAAAATGGACAAAAGAGGAAGACATCTGGATGGCCAACAGACACACGAAGAAATGCTCAAAATGTGCTCGCTTCAGCAGCACATATACTAAAAAAAATTGGAACGATACAGAGAAGATTAGCATGGCTCCTGCACAAGGATGATATGCAAATTTGTGAAGCATTCCATATTTCTTTAGTATTTAGTGAATAAGGTGTTTTGGAAGAAGAAAAAAGAAGCACTTAAAATCACTGGCAATAAGAAAGATGCAAATCAAAACCACAATGAAAAGCAGTGGCAAAGTTTAACAGGACAGCAAATAATAAATGTTGGAGAGGGTGTGGTGAGATAGGAACTCTTATACACTGTTGGTGGGATTGTAAAATGGTACAACCACTCTGGAAGGCAGTTTGGCATTTCCTCAAAAAGATGAACCTAGAAATTTCATATGACCATATTCCAATGGTTGGAATATACCCCAAGATAATAAGAACTGAGGCACAAATGAAGATTTGTACACCAATGTTCACAGCAGTGTTATTCACCATCACAAGACCATGGAAACACCCCAAATGTCCAACCACAATAAAATAGATTGAGAAATTGTGGTACATTCACACGATAGAATACAGCATACAGGAGTAATGATTTTGAAAATCACTACATAACTTGGGGGAGACTAGAGAGCATTATGCTAAAGTAAATAACTCAGTTCCATAAGGATAAATACTGTTTAAGACCATTATTGTAGAAATAGAATGTTAATTAGTAAAACGTGTATGAGGATCTAAGGCGGGGAGGGTAGGAACAGAGGGGCGAGGATGGGCAGGGGGATAATCATAGGGTCGCATAATTTGATGGGTGGAGGGAGACATGGGTAAAGGAAATGGCAAAGATACAGTGTGAAAAACAATGTATACAAACTTTGTAAGTAAACCAGTATTAAATAAAAACTTTACTAAAAAAATAGAACTTTGTTATATTTATAGACAGAGAAATGTCTATTTGTGTTTCATGGACTATGGAAAGGCATTTGACTGTGTAGATTACAACAAATTGTGGCTGACTCTGAGAAGAATAGGAATTCCAGAACACTTGATTGTGCTTTATGTGAGACCTATACTTAGACCAGAAGGCAGTTGTCAGAACAGCACAAGGAAACACTGCATGGTTCAAAATTGGGAAGGATGTGCACCAAGGACATGTCCTATCTCCATATCTTTTCAATCTATATGCGGAACAGATTATCTGGGAGGCTGGGCTCTATGAGGAAAAGTGTGGCATCAGAACTGGAGGTAGACTCATCAACAATCTGTGTTATGCAGATGACAAAACTCTACTTGCTGAAACTGAAGAGGACCAGAAACCCTTGCTGCAGAAGGTCAAGGACTGCAGCCTTCAATATGGATTGAAGCCCAACATCAAGAAAACAAAGATTCTCACCACTGGAACAGTTGGCAGCATCATGATAGATGGTGAAGAGATTGAGATTGTTAACAGCTTCAGTTTGCTTGGCTTTACATTCAACACTCTTGGTGCCAGCAGGCAGGAAATGAAAAGATGAATTGCATTGGGAAAGTCTGTTGTCAGAGACCTCTCCAAGGTACTGAGGAGCAACGATGTCAGTCTGGAGATTAAAGTACATCTGATACAGGCCATGGTCTTTGCAATCACTTGCTATGCATGAGAAAGCTGGACAATGACTAAGGATGACAGAAAGAGAATTGATGGCTTTGAGCTGTGGTGCTGGAGAAGAGTACTGAATAAACGATGGACTGCTAAGAAAACAATTTCATCCTGGAGAGGATGAAACCAGGCTGCTCCTTGGAGACAAGGATTCTGAAGCTTCGTCTGACATACTTTGGACATGTTGCAAGGAGGGACCAGTCCCTGGAGAGGGACGTCTTGCTTGGGAGGATAGAGGGACAGCACAAGAGAAGAAGACCCTCAATGAGCTGGATTGATTCAATGACTGGAGTAATGGGGATAGGTGTGTCAGGCAACAAGATTGGCAAGGGATAGAGCAGGGTTTAGGGCTGTTGTACATAGGGTCGCTATGAGTTGCAGGTGACTCGCCATCATATAATAACAACAACAAAAATATAACAGATCTAAGTATGTAGTTATGAATAAACTGTTCCAAGTAAAAGTAGTATAATTCTATTTATACTCATTTTGGGGGCTTGCTTCAGCAGCACATATACTAAAATTGGAATGATAAAAAGAAGATAATCATGGTCCCTGAGCAAGGATGACACGTAAATTAATGAAGCATTCCATATTTTTAAGTGATACAGCACTCTTCTGTCAAAATGCTGTAATGAGGTAACCTGGGGTTGCTATGATGCTGAACATTGTGCCATTGGTATGTCAAATGCCATAACGGTTACCCATGGTGGAAGTGTTTGGTAAATTTCCCAGTGTAAGACAGGTTTGGAAGCAGGAGTGGCATCCACTTCCTAAACAACATGCCTCTTGTAACTCAATAAACTTTGATAAATGATGATAGTTATAGAAAGGCTTTAGGCCTTTTATTCATAGGGGTGTTATGAGTCATGCTCAACTTGATAGCAATCAACAAAAAAAACAACCAATTTTGGAAGAATTTTGAGTTTATAAGATTTAAAAAAAAAACACCCCAAAATTTATAAGCACACATTCAGGTAAACAAAAGAGCAGTAGATTATAAACTAAGCAACAAAATCAGACTAGAAAATATTTTCCTCTGTAATTTGACATCCTAAGAGTCAATGTTACAATATTTTTTCATTTTGAAAGTAAAGTTGTTGTTGTTGGGTACTGTAGAGTTGGAACGACCCATAACGGACCTTCTGGTGGGTTTTCAGAGGCAGTTACTCATACAAGAGAAGACTGCCCACCCTTCTTCTGAGAAGCTGCTCGTGGCCTTCAACAGTGAGCCTTGATTGCAGCGCAACTTCTTGCCACTAGGCCACCAGAGCCAATAAACATAAGCTTATGTTTTTCAAATCATTAAAAAAAAAAAAAAGAAGATGGAAGGAAACCTTTGAAAATTTTTGCAACTAAGGCAGGATCTCTTGAATTTGTACCTCTTTTTTGCCACTCATGGGTTCATTTTCCTCCTTACATATCCATTTCAAAATAAAAATGTAATCACATAAAAACATTTAAAAATAACTACCAGAGCACCTAGGGAGCTTTGCTGGCTTAGTGGTAAGAAGCTGTACTGCAATCTTGAAGGCACCTGGTTCCAATCCACAACTGCTCCAAGGGAAAAGAACCAGCAATCTCCTTCCATGTGATTAATTGCCTCTGAAAACCCACTGGAGGGTCAGCTATGGGTCAATTCCAACTCAAAGGCACACAACAACCACCTAGAATTTCACTGTGGGATTGTACTTTTATTTCTTTTGGTCTTCAATATTTTTTGCCCCACGGAAAACATTGACATCCACAGGCAAAGGTTGTGAAAATGCTCAAGGAAAAATTTATTCTTATTGTCACAAACATTTGAGTGCCTGCTATGTACCAGGTTTGAAGGATATTCTTGTGAATGACATACAATCTGTTTCTGTTCATCCCCAAGCAAGCAGGGGAGAATGGCTATTATAAAAACAGCCCTGTATTTCCCAATTTATTTTTATGTAAGATTACCAAATAATAATTTTGGCATTGCTAACAAGCTACCATCTTTAGAACCTACCTCACAGTCACAGCTATGGGCAATCAGCACTCATTTACACAGTTCCCTGTTTTTGAACAACCAAAATGTGTGTTTCATTCTTATCAACCTCTCAGAATCCATTTTCTGGAAGAACTTTAAAACCAACTAACCAACCCACCTAATTAAACTTCAGAAAGCTTTTTATGTGCTAGTACAAGAAGTGTCTGAAAATATGTTGCTAAGCAGAGCACAGAAGAGTGAGTTATGCTGTTGTTTGAGTAGACAAAGGGAGAAAAAGAATTTATGAATGTGTTTATATGTGTATGAAATGTTTCTGAAAAGATATGTATGAACGACAGTCTCCTAAGAGAAAAAATGTGTAGCTTGTAGAGCTAGGGGAAAAGGGATAAGAGAGAGACCATTCATTGTATATTGTGAATTTTCAACCATGTGAATATATAATTTATGCCAAAAATAATTTTTTTTAAGTTGTTAACCAGCCCCAGGCCTTCTCCATCTAGAGGAGGATTCGACTCAGGATTGAATAAAGACAAAGGTCCCACTATGCACGTGAGGCCGCTGACGCACCTGGCTTCCTTTGGCTCTTGGTGGCACTGGAAAAGCCGCTCTTTGACTCGCCTCTTGTCCTCCTCCAGCACCTTCCTTTTGTCACAACCCCGGAGGTTGACAAGGGTCATGGCGTCACAGAGAAGAGCATCCTTCACTTCTCGATCAAGATGTGAGTCCGTGGTGAAGCTTGGAGAGTGGTTTACCTGCCAGGAGGAATCATTTCCCACCCCTTTCCTAGACCATGTGAATAGCTGATGACCTCTTACAGGCCTGACTGGTCTAAGAGACACATCCCTCTCCAGTGACCTCACAGAGGTCACATACTTTGTCACAGAGACCTCTCTGGAGATCCCACCAGTTTACAGGGTGGTGAGAGAAAATAAAAAACAGTGTCATTAAAGACAAGGCTTACCGTGGGAACACATGGGATTCAAACCTAGATCCCTTGGTTCAGGCTAGTGACTACCAAGACTGGACTCAGTCTGTCAAAAGTGTAGGAATCTTATGCCTTCTGTTGATAAACCCCTAAGTGGTCGCACCCACCCTAGGGGCACTATCATACTACCTGAGTGGACATCTATCCCCAAGCCCTGCTCAAGGCATCCTCTATATATGAGATTATCCTTACCTCCAGCAGCCAGGGCTTCAGCTTGTGGTCCAGCAAGATGTCAAAACCAAGTATTTCAAAACATGCACATGTACCTCCACTCAGATACTGGGGGAAACAGGTTCGGTAGTTATGGCGAAGAACGGCATGGGCCGAGATGATGGTTTTGATGATGATGTCTTCAATGCTCCGCCACAGCCCTCGAAGGTCATAGCCGTGTTCTCGAAGCCAGGCATTGAGTGTTGACAGCTTCCTGTGAGGCCCAGTGCTCAGAGGAAGCCCAATTTCTAAACCAGTGGAGTCTGGCTAAGGTAGGGGGTTCCTCAATACTACTCTGAACCCTATGCCCAAGACCTGTGCTTTATAAAGCTGCCTACAAGGATTCTCTGAGTGGTGCAAATGGTTAAGAATGACACTACTAGATGAAAGACTGGCAGTTCAAACCCACCCAGAGACTCTTAGGAAGACAGGTCTGGAAATGTGCCTTGAAAGGCCTCAGGAGCCATTCTGTTCTGCACACTCGGTGTGGCCAGGAGTCAGAATGGAACTGGATGACAACTTGGAGCAGTGGTTAGGTAGTTAGGTGAGATTTGGGTCTGCACTGGAAGGAAAAGCATGGGGCCAGGGTCTGTGAAGCTTGAGTTTCGTTTAAGTTGCTGAAACTGTTGGCTCAGGAGCAGAGGAAGCAGGAAGAAATAAGAGCAGGGAGTACCTCTTACTGCCCGCAGCATCATCCCGGACAAAATTCTCACTGTGCTTGTTGATGGCGTAGTTGGTGAGGTGCATGCAAACATCATCCTGTGAGGAGAGGGGCCTTGCGCTGTCAGTCAGATACTTTTCAATTAGCCATCCCTTCCCTGGATTGCTCCTCTCCTGTGTCATTCTAGGCTTTGAAACAACTTCCAAACTTCACCCGAGGGCTGTCCTTTACGCTCTTGGGAAAGAAGGTGTGCTAAGTTCCCCCACTTGCTGGCCTTTCCTCAGTCACCACCCACCAGATGCTCCCCTTCCTGCCAGGTCTGTGCTCACTCACCGTCATTCACTGTTCAATGGTGGCAAAGACAGGCCACTCTTCCTAGTTTCTCCACAGAACCTTAGTGCTCAATGGCCGGGGGAGAAGGGGGTGCCACCCTGGCTCTCTTACCAGGTTGGTGCTGTTGGGCTCCTTGTAGGGAATGGTGGCAAAGCGGGCCAGGCCCTCCTCATACATGAAGATCCGAAGAGGGTCACAGGACGTGATCAGGACGTAGATTCGCATGTCGAACTTGAAGCCATCAATGAGGAATGGCTGAGAGCATGCAAATCCATAAGGAAGAATAATGACATGATTTTCAAGTGCTTATTATGAACCCCGCATTGTTTCAAATCCATAATAGGCAATAACTCGTTCCATTTGGACATTGACCATATGAAGTCATTACTATTGTTATTCCCATTTAGCAGACAAGGACACTGAGGCACGGAAAGAATAAGAAACTTGCACAGGGTCACACACATTGAGGAAGTGAAAAAGCTTAGGTTCAAATCCAGAGAGGCTGGCTCTGAACTGTAGCTCCATTCTACTTCCAAGGTTTCAGGGACCGCACAGAAAGGATAGGGGCCTAAAACCAGCTCCCCACGGGCTTTGAGAGAGGCAGGGCACCCCAGAGCTGGAAGTAGGGGGACCTAGTGGTCCTGAGGCCCCTTTACCTTGGAGATGTATTGCTGACAGATCATATGTTCTCCTGGCTTGATCTCCCGGGGGTTGCGGGTAATGAAGATGCCTCGTCCCTGGCAGCCACTGTCTGGCTTGCAGATATAAGTGCGGGTTTTCCGCTGACGACCATAGGACTGGAAGTCCCCGTAGCTACGTGTAGAGAGGGGCTGGTCAAAAGGGTTTTGTGTGTCATGCTATCCCTGGGCCCCTGGAGTTTTTCATCCTATCTCTTCTACGCTCCTCATAGAACCTGCTGTGTCAGACCCACTTTTCTTTGACCAGCTGAAGCTCTCTGGTTCTATTTCCACCCCTCAGATACTCCTAGGTCACAAGGGCAGAGTCTAGAGAGAACTCCCAGGATGAGAGCCCATTCCTCCCCCAGGAGCTCACCACATGAACCCGGGTTCACTCACTCTGCCGGGAGGCACCAGGTTCGGGGGAAGATGTTGTACTCAGCAGGATAGAGCTTCTGCATGCGGGTGAGGTTCCGAGCCAGCAAATCTTTGCGGCAGATTTCTGTCATTCCAGGGAAATGGTTGATTTTCTGCAACAAAGCTAGTGTTTACACTACCCCCACAGTAAGTGATGGTTCCTGGGAGCCAGGCATTCCAAGCAGCAGTGAGGAAGACTGAGAAAGTCAAGGCAGAAATTACAGTGGAGGTAAGCCTTATACCTATGACTATCTGAGGGTGAATACAGAAGATTCCCTGAGGCAACTGAGAGGCCCCTTGTTGGCGTCTTTCCAACATGCACACCCAAACTGAGGAAATGAGGGTCACTGAGAAAGGTGGCATGTTAGTCACGCCTTAGACCTCCATGCCACCTTACATAATCCCTTAGAACTAGAGTTCCTTAGTGGCACAGTTAAGCACTTGACTACTAGCTTCCAGGTCAAACCCACCCGGTGTGCCTCAGAAGGCAGGCCTGAAGATCCGCTTCTGAAAGATCACAGCACACACAAAGCCTCCATGAACTGGAAATCATGGCAACTACCAAGAATAGCCCACCAGACAGTAGTTCTCTAGGGACAATAGGTGTATACTGCACAAAGCAAGTAATACAAAGAATATTTCCCAAAGAATGCAAAAGGGATCGGGAAGTTCAGAGCCAGCATGAGGGAATGAACCGCTGGACTGTGACACGACATGGCTTTCAGTGACGATCAGGAATCCCTGGCTACTCTGCGCTGCTCAGTGCCAAGAGGAGCATCCCTCAAGGCTTTCCAATGGCTGGCTGTGTGGACTCAGTACTTCCGGGATTCAGTGTCCTCCCCTGTAACACAGGGATATCAGGTTTTGAGGACTGAAGGAGGTAAGAATGTATGAGCATTTAATACAGTGTCTGACAGTAACCAGTCGCTATGGAGTTGATGCCAATTCATGATGACTTTCATAAGTGTTAGAGTAGAAATGTGATCCAGGGGGTTTTCAATCACCAGGCTTTTCTTTTGAAGAGCCTCAGAGTGGACTTGAAACTTCATCCTTTTGGTTAACAGCTGAGCATGTTACTATTTGTGTCATCCAGAAAGTCTGGTATAGAAAAAGTTCTCACGCTTGCTCTTTGAAGCTTCTTTTTTTTTTTAAAATGGTACTATTTATTGAGTTTTAATTTACATACAACAAAAATTACCTGTTGCCACTATTCAGTTGAAAACCATTTCTGACTTCCCAAATAGCCTCACCAAACATCATTTGGTTCAAAAAGCACATTATGTAAGGATACAATATAAAATTGGCTTCCCCTACACCTCACTGACCTATATAGTCAGTTTCCCTTGTCAATCTTCTATACTTGTGTGTACCCTTTCTAACCCTTAATTCAACAGTGTTCATTATGTATTTCCCCACACTATTCTGGGTGAAAAACCTCCACCATATTTCCTCTATCTAAACTTTTCTATAGTGTTTCTTAGTACAACAGCACTTAGTTCATTTGTGGCTTGCTTTACTATGTCCTGTAGACTCATCCAAGTAGTGTAGTGTTTCCTAAAAGCCAGTTGAATCAATCCTTTGAAGTATGGCAACTTTCTATGAAGTTCACAAAATATTTCCCAGTGTGTAGGACACCCCACACTTTATGGAGATATTTTATGTATATAAGGATTTCTTTTCTAGAAAGTTCAAACATTTTATCTTCTGTTGGTTGCACATTATGGCTGTGTGAGAGCTTATCCATACTGTAGGCTGTTGGGTATTCTGTTGAGTTGGAACAAACATCTGGCCGTTCAGGAGGTTTTCAGAGGCAGAAAGATCACGCAGGAGACTGCCTATATTTCTCCTATGGAGCAATTGGTGTTTAAGAACCGAGAGCCCAATTTGGCAACACAACTCCTTAGCACTTAAGCCACCAAAACTCCTAAATTTATGTCTATTTTTCCCTAATGGTCTTCAGTTCCATGGTTCTGATCCTTTTTTTACAATGTTTATTTCTATAAATGGGGTTGAAGACTGGTTTTACCACATAATAGGTTTTGATATGTGGTTTTCATTCTCATGTTTCATTTCACTTAACTCCATATCAGTATATTTCTTTTGGCTTCCTGTCAGAGAGTCACTGGATGGGCTATCTGGTCTGCTTTTCTACAAGAAGGCTTGTTTTGTCCTTTCATAATGTTTGAACTTGACTGCAGCCCCCTCAGCATTGTGGAAAGCTCTTCTTTGTATGTGCTGGTTGTTCTCTTTCCATATGGTAGTAATAATCTTGCTTACTGCGTTTTATTTGTGGTTTCTAAACTATCTTTCAGCTTTTGTAATTTCCAAGCTACATATTGTTGGAAATACTCCACACCGTCAAATAACTTCTGGATTCCTGACTCTGGGATAATCAGAGGGGCGAACTGTTGGTCTGTTTTATTCAGAGTATGCTGAGTTTTTTTCATGTTTGAACCTGACTGCTCCTTCTTTGCCATTATGTGAGGTTCTTCTTAGTTCCCCAATTTCAGTATTCTAGAATTATCGTCTGTAGCTGGCTTTCCTGGTGTTCTTGCAGTAGACAACAGGTTTTTCAGTCCTACTAGTTCACTATCCAAAAAATTCTTCTATATAGCTTTACTTGAGAAAGAATGTCTTCCAAGCAGCAGCTCTAAAGTTCACTAGCAACTTGAGTTCACCACAGAACCAAAAATATTCAAGCCAAATTCATTCCATGTAATTCACTCCTGAAGTATCCAAGTATCAGCAACGTGAACTCAACCCTCAACCGAGTCCAGAGGCACTGCCCGAAAGCTCTTTGGAGCTTCTTAAAAGCTCTCAGCATGCACACCCATGTTTTCTGCGGCTTTATTTGTAATAGCAAAGAGCTGGGAACAACCCAAGTGCCCATCAACAAACGAATGGATAGAGAACCTCTGGTACGCTATGCAGCATTGAAAAACAAGGAACTCATGAAATATGCAAAATGGATGACCCTGGAGGACATTATTTTGAGTGAAATATCTCAGTCACAAAAGGACAAATATTGCATAGGGCCACTGATGTAAAACAGGACTGACATCAGGGTTGAGAGAAGACAGAAAAGGAGGGGAAGAATGATGTATATTGTATTAAAATAAATGAGGGAGAGAACTGTTCAAAAGGGATATATGATTGGGTATTAATGTCACTATATAATTCCAGAGTGAAGGCTGGATAGTAGAGTGAAGTTGGGGGGAGGGATTTCATAACAATGAAAAAGTTTTTCTTTTTCTTTTCAAGGAGAAGAATGAATTGGGGGGGAGAGGGTGGGTAGGGAGAAAAGTGCAACAATGAATGACTGGAAACCCTAAGGCTCTGTAAACTTTCATTAAAATGAATTTAATAAAAGGGGGGAGGGAAAAGCCTCTCAGTATCTGTTTTCTTCTGGACTTCTTTCCCAAAGTTAGTTGTATAACAGATTATGTTATCTAGTCTCTTCAACCCCCTACCTGCTGGTATTTTAAGTCACCTCATTCAGGAGGCTGGACTTATGAGGAGGAATGTGGCATCAGGGCTAGAGGAAGACTCATCAACAACCTATGTTATCCTATATTATGCAGATGACACAATCTTGCTTGCTGAAACTGAGCATTTGCTGAAGAAAGTCAAGGACTGTAGTCTTCAATATGAATTGAAGCTCAACATCAAGAAGACAAAAATTCTCACACTGGGCCAATTGGCAGCACCATGATAGATGGAGATGAAATTGAGGTTATTATCAATTTCAGCTTGGTCAGCTCCACAATCAACACTCTTGACACCAGCAGTTAAGAAAGCAAAAGAATTTCATTAGGGAAATTTGCTGTCAGATTTAGCACTTTTCTGAAGTGCTAAAGAGCAATAATGTCAGTCTAGAGACTAAGGCACACCTGATTCAGGCCATAGCTTTTAAAATTACTTGCTAAGCAAGTAATAATTTGCTGGACAATGACCACACATGACAGAAGAAGAATTGATGTCTTTGAATTGTGGTGCTGGAGAAGAATACTGAACATGGACAGCCAAGAGAACAAACAGGTCTGTCCTGGAGACGGTGAACCAAAGTGCTCCTTTGAAGTAAGGATTTTGAAGCTCTATCTCACATACTTTGGGCTATCATTGTCCTTGGAAGGGTGGGGTGACAGCACAGGAAAGGAAGACCTAGATGAGGCAGATTGATACAGTAACTGTGGCAATGGGGGTAGGTGTGTCAGAGCAGTGAGAATGGCTCAGAGTAGGGCGAGATTCAGAGCTATTGTGCATAGGTTGCTATGAGTCACAGGTGACTTGACGACACATAACAACAACATACACATGTGAAAATCTGAAGAATAAATAAATACAACCAAAGAAAAATTGATGCTTTTGTGTTATTATGTTGGTGAATAATATTGAATAAATCATGGAATCAAACAAACAAATCCATTTTGGAAGAGAGGCAGTCAGAATGCTCCCTACACAAGAGGATGACAAGACTCTGTTTCACACACTTTGGACATGTTATTAGGAGACACTGGAGCTCTAGTAGCCTAGTGCAAGAAGCTGTTCTGCAATTCCAAAGGCATGTGGTTCGAGGCCACCAGCTGCTCCTTAGGAGAAGGATGGGCAATCTCCTCCTGTGTGATTAACTGCCTCTGAAAACCCACTGGAGTTTACAGAGCTGTGGGTCAGTTCCGACTCAACAGTACACAGCAACAATAACAAGAGAAGGACATCATGCTTGGTAAAGTAGTTTTATAAAAAGAGGAAGTGGAAGGTCCTCAACAAGATAGATTAAATGGTGGGTGCAACAATGGACTCACATATAGCAATGACTGCAAGGAAGCCACACAATCCAGCCACGTTTTGTTCAGTTGTACACAAAGTTGGTCTGAGTCAATACCTAGTCAGCAATACCTAACAACTGCCTTCCTGGCTCCTCAACACACACACACACACACACACACACACACACACACACACGCTTATAGAGCGTCATTGTTGGCAGCACAACATGCCACGGCCTATGCCACCAGAGCTCCTAACTATGGGTCCTTTTAATGTTTTATTGCTAATCATTACAATGACTCATTTAGCTGATTTTTTTTAAATGAAGAATCTATATATTTCTTACGGACCTTGCTTCACATTTCCTGACTTTCTTGCTGCCAGGTAGCAAGCACCTCACAGTGTCTCTTAGTGAATGAAGGATGCTAGCTAAGCTTCTTAGGAGATGGACTACTCAGCTGGCCCTGCTGTTACCCATGAACCTGCCCAGAGGGAAGCCAATGGGCCTCTACAACAAATAATGAGGTGGGGGGCACAGAAGCTCCAGAGACCCAAGAGAAGACTATTAGCGTTGGAGCAATGTGTCTGGATGTGCTCTTTCCTGCACCGCGTGGGGATATAGCCACTTGAGTGGAAAACTCAGGCTCCTGGGTGGGGGTGGGAAGCCTAAGCCTTAGCCTGAGGCCTTAGTCAGGAGGAAGCCGGTACCTGAAATCTTTTCATGTCCAGGACTCGTTCCAGTGACACAGAACAATCCGTCCAGTACACGGTCCACTCCTCGTCCTCCCCCACCTCCTTCAGGCCACATACCTGTGCTGCCCGTCGCACTATAGAGAGAAGAAAGCGGGTAGTGGCAGCCTGGGCACCAACAACAAGCCCTAGAGTTAGCTGGTTTGGGACTGACCTGACACGGCAGGTTGAGGACGGAGGTAGTTCTTACCTCAGCTCTACAGGTTAGTGACCTGCAGACAATTCCATGACAATTCCGAGTTTATGAGGCTGGCTGGGCCTCTCCAAAATGTGTGGCCAAGAAAACGAGAGCCTGGTGCTCGGCTCTAGTCAGGACGATCTCCTCAGTTAGGATTATGTGTGCCCTGCAGAGCTGTCCCTACCAAAGTTTACACTGACTCCTCACGCTCTCAGTCACCTCATGTTCAGACATGATGTCAGGATGTGGTCGTTGTGTGCCATGGAGTTGGACCTGACACACACCTGACCCTCCAGTGGGTTTTCAGAGGCAGTAAACCAAATGAGGGGAAATCATCCATCTTTCTCCCACAGAGCAACTGGTGGATTTGAACTGTGTGCCATTGGGTTGGCATGAAACTTCTTACCACTAAGCCACCAGAGCTCCCTAATGCCAATGGGATAGGAGGGAACAAAGGAGATGACTAAAGTAGCTGTGATTTAATATTTTTTCATTTTTTACCTAAGGTTCTTCAAAAAGAGAAGAAAAAAAAAACAAAAGAAAACAACTCTTTCTAAATCTGGTCTTGTCTCTCTAGTTAAACTGGGAAGGGTTGAGAAGTAGTAGTGATTTGTGGCCTTTATTTTGTTGTTAGTTTATCACCCTGAGACTAAAACAGTGACGCCCCACAGCTGTCAGTAGCTGAGCCAGGAAGCACTCCGCAAGCTCAGTACAGATTTTGCACGGAGCAGCTCTTCTTTGCCTTGCAACCCGGTTAGGAACCCAGTTAGGGGATTATCCCCAGAGTAAGAGCACACAATGGTGTGGAAGACTAGCTGGCCACTTACCACTCTCATATCTACAGTTGGTCAGATTGATGGTTAAAGGTCTAGAACAGAGGAAAGAACAGAAATCAGGCTGGAAGGAAAGGACAAAGACCTCCAGGTACTCAGAAAAAGGGACACACAAATAATATAGACAGAGATTGCAGAGGTAAACACTATTACCTTTATCTATACACAGTCCTGCATTATCGGGAATATACATGAATCTACAAGTGGATACACGGGCAGACAGGCAAAGTGGAAGCAAAACAGGACAGATTAAAGGGACTTCACCCATGATCATGTGCATGCTTGTACGTGCCGTAATACGGTATTACATTTGTTCATGTATGTAGTAGAATCACCAGAGGCCAAAGCTTTAAAAAAAAGAGGCAGTCCAAAATTTCAACATAAAACAATTGCTTGCATTAGATTTTTTTTCTTAAAAGCCGCATAAAGACCATTTTATGCAAGCTGAATAAATGCCAAAATGAGCCAACACCAGTGTTTTTTATATTTGTTTTGCACCAAAATGTTGGTAATGTTCCTGTATTTTCTGGTTTTCAGGCTAAAAGGAAGACCTCAAACTTAACCTCCCAAAGGCTTGAGGGGAAGCTAAGGGGATGATTCCAGAACCTGGCAGGTGAGGAAGTGCAGGGAATTGTTACCTGCGTTTCAGCTTTTTCTTTCTTCTCCCATCTTCTAACACCTGTGGGTCAGTTGGAATTTTCTTGGCTATAATAATTAAGGAAACTGCATTCCTAAATGCCTTGTAGTCAGCCTTTAAGAGTGCCTCATGAGAAGGGTTAGAAGGGATGGTATCTTCCTCTTTAATACATTCCTCCTCAGATTCCTCTTCCTCATTATAGTCTTCCTCTGATTCACTAGTTTTACAGGTATTCGGCTCCATCCCCTTAGATTCAGAGAAAAGGGTTCAGTGGAGCGACATAGTATCAGACTTCCCTCCCTCACACCCCCCAAAGGACTGCAGTAATTCTCCCAAAAGACCTTCATGGGGTTCCTAGACTGTCCCTTCAGAATAGAACAATCCCCCTTGCAGGATGGGATGTTTCCAAGTAAGTAAATGGGGCCTCCGGATGTCTGAGAAATTAATTCCCCAGTAACAAGCCCAAATACTTCCCTAGGTCACACGGGGGTTTACACACGGGGTGCGGTGCATCGGCTGGTTGGGACCATGACTATTGGTTGCTAAATGGAGAATGACTAGGAGGTCCTAGGGGTGAGAAGGGGATACATGCGTAAGTGTGCATGTGCGTATGAAGGAGACCTTTGCTTATAGAAATGACGACCAAAGGTCTCCTAAACTGGCCCTTGCCCGGTCCCAGGATTTCGTTTCTAAAGACAAGGCACCGAATGGCTAAGATCCCTTGTGCACTGTCTGTGGAGGGGGAGTCCGCCGTGCACGCTGCCCATCAGAGGTTCCTAGGAAAACAGAAGGGCCTAAGTGCCCCGGGCTGGACTCAGCGGATCGCTCATGTTCACCCTTTGCCAGGCTCCCACTCCTGCCCGGGCGTCGTTGGGCGCCCAGGACCACCTCCCGGTTCCACGGAATAGACTGTCCTAGCTGATCGTAAGAGGGAGCCGGCTTCCCGCTGGACGCGCTGCAGGCTCCAAAATCCCAACGGCGGCGGCCCCTCCTAGATAGAACAAGCCCGCAGCCGCCACCGCCGTCGCCATGGACACGGGGTCCCCATTGGAGAAGGGTTCTGAGGGCGGGGCCTCGCCGGAACCACGCCCACTCGGGAGTCGGCCGTGGCCATGTTGGGGTGGTGGTGGTAGGTACCGCTGAGTCCAGGCTTATAGAGACCCTATGATAATCTGAATTCTGTCCTATCCTGTGCCATCCTCATCATCTTTAACTCACCTGAGCCCATTACTGCAGTCACTGGGTCAGTCCATCTCGTCGAGGGTCTTCCTCTCTTTCACACTGTCCCTCCACCTTACCGAAGCATGATGTCCGTTTCCAAGGAATAACCCCTCCTAGCAACATGTCCATAGGATGAGAGCAGCAGCTTCACCATGCTTGCCTTCAGTGAGCAACACTCTGGCTGTCTGTTCTTTTGGCATTCCATGGGATAATCTGTATTTTTCTCAACACCACAGTTCAAAAGTATCCATTCTTCTGTCCAGTTCTCAGATGCACAGCAAGTGATTGTTAACTCCACGGCCTGAGCCAGGCGCACCTTAGTCTTCAGACTGCCATCATTACTTTTCAGTAGTATTTTGGAGGGGTCCTGACAGCAAACTTGAAGGGGATGCAAATATGTGCCCTCTGGGACTGACAGCGTATGGGCCTTCCTGCCACTGGCTAACATAATGGATTGTGGAACTTGTCATATTTCCATATTTATACAAATGCTCCCCTCCCCACTGTCCTAGACCTCTGGTGGTGTAGTCTGTAGGGAAATACACTGTAAAGCCAAAAGCAACCCCTCTGGAAGCCTGAATCCCCTAGAGGCCCTGTGAGAGAAAGACCAGCGATCTCCACCCACTAGATATACAATCTTGGAAACCTCTGGAGGGTCAGCTATGAGTCTGTTCCCTTTTGACCACAATGAGTTTGAGTTTGATCCTTTTTTTTGAACCTGCAGGCCAGTCTGCAATTTTCTCAAGTCTGTAATCTTGTCTTCCTTCAATTTTGCAATCATCATGATTTGAGCAGGATGCACTCAGCAGAGACAGTTGCAGTGAGGGCATGTACTGCCACATGCCCACCCTGCCCAGGTGTCCACTGGGGCTAAGGCAGATCACTGAACCATCTTATCAGAGTTCTCCTTCACTGCCTCCTCCTGACATCCATCCACTTGTCTGACTGCTGCTCCTCCTCCTCACCTCCTCAGCGCAACATGTCACTTACAGGATTGATCTTGTGTGTGGCTAAATCCAGAGGACACTTTGGAAATTTCCCTTCTTATAAAATCATGGACATTTTTACTTAATTGGCCTTTATATTTAGCACATGATATCTCAATTGTTCCTGCCTTGAAATGCTCATGAGCCCTTTGGCTTTGTTGTTGTTAAGTGCCGTCGAGTCGCAGGGTTAGGGACTCATAGCGACCCTATGAAGAAGAGTCCTCGACGCTTGGGTGCCTTTCATCCTCTCTCCAGGTTCATAGGGTTTCCGGAGGAAAGCTTTTATGGAAGTGGATGCCACTCCTCCTTCCAAGCTTGTTTTAATTGGGGAGCTCCACCCCACTCTCTGCCTTTGACTTTAAAGATGCTAATTTTCCTCTTTGAACAGAACTAGAACATCACTGCTTGGCCAAATTACCACCATTCTCCACTCACTGCCAGTGGAGTTGGTTCTGACTCATCTTTGTAGATTGCCCGTCCTCCCCTCAGAGCCATTGGTAGATTCAAACTCCAGGGTACTGTATTTCCAGAGCTCCCAATTCAGAGCAACCATTGGCAGCCTCTTAATTTGATGCCCTATTTTTCCATCCTTGATCCATTAATTCATCTTCCCCCCCCCCCATGAAATGCAAACCTGCCACTCTCTAAAGCTCTTTAAAATTTCTTACAAGATTAAGCTTCCAAACCCCTTGACATATGAGACCTTCCATCAAGGAGTTTCCAGTACAAGCTAAGGAGTGGAGCAGTCCTGGGCTGGACTGGCACTTCCTGCCCTGTTTCCTTAATTGGGACAGGTACAGAGGGTTCCACAGAAGTGTTCTTACTTAAGTTCTGAAAATACTTCAGTCTCAAACTCCCTTTTTAAAGATTCTCATGTGGCTGAGAAGTACCCATCATGAAGAAAATCCACTTGACTTTCCCCCTCCTTCTTTTATCAAAAATCTTCTTTGGGCCAAGGAAGGATTTTCTTTGAATGCCAATCTGATCATGAACTGAGCAAAAGTGACTCCATCTTGATATTACTCTCGACCTCAATTTAATCACTGTATTCCCCCCCCCCTTTTTTTTTTTGCTTGCTTGTTTTGAGGTATGGCTAGAGTTAATGACTATTCTACCCTTTTGAAGAACCCTTGGGCAGATGGTCTCTCTTGGACCTGACATCAGCAGGACTAGGGCAACGTGACCTGCCCCTATTCTGTAGGTTGAAGATAAGAGATAAAAACAAGGCTACCTCCTCCCTGCTATCCTTGTTTTAATAAGCTTTGTCATTTTGTTTTCTATTGAATTGTTTGTTTTACTTAGTATATACTGGAATACTTGAACAAACCATACCCAAATTATTATGTTGACATCGGGCCGGGGGGGGGGGTGAGGGATCTTGCTTTTTAAGTGACAAGTCCTAGGAAGAAACTGGGAACCTCCGGGCATTGAATTAATCATCTTAGTCACTTTATGACAATGATCATCTTTACTCCTTTCAGACAGGAAATATTTTAAATAAAGTGAGCACCTAAGAATGCATCCGCTGATTCAACCACCCTAAGATTGTAAAATATTGGCAGGGCTGAGGAAAGCTCCTAAAAGTATTGGATAAGTCAAAGCAATCCCTTTATCACAAGCATGCATACAGGAGGATGGGCATAGGTCATACCCAATACACTTTTTTATAGGAGACCCTTGGGTATCCTCAATTTTCAATACTCAAAAGATGTTGTGGGACTAGTTCCCTAAGGATCTAAAGGATACCAAAGGATGACTATGCAATGGCTTGGAGAGGGAAAGAGTAAAATTACTCAAAAAAATTTGAGGGTTTATGTCTCGGACTGAATTGTGCTTTCCAAAATGTATCAATTTGGCTAGGTCAGGATTCCCAGTATTTTATTGTCTTCTCTATTTTGTAGCCTGACATAATGTTCCTTAAAGCTAAACCATTCTGTGATATGCTGTAAATCCTAACCTCTGTTAATGAGGCAGCATTACTGCTGTTGGAGTTGACTACCATTACTAATGACCCTATGAAGCTTGCCCTATCCTGTGCCATCTTCATGATCTCTGATATACTCAAGTCCACAGTGATAGTCCATCTTGTTGAGGGTCTTCCACTCTTTCTCTGACCCTCTATCTCCTAGTATGACACGCTGACAACATACAAGGTTTCAAAACTTTGCCTCTAAGGAGGATTCTGGTTGTATTTACTCCAAGACAGATTTGTTTGTTCTTTTGGCAGTCCATAAAATATTCAGTACTCTTATCCAATAAAATAAAATCATTGTTATTCATTGCCCAACTTTCAGAAGTATAAGAACCAATTAATAACATTCACCTTAAAACTGACATCCTTGGGAGCTCTGGTGGCCTAGTGGCAAGAAGCTGCACTGCAATCCTAGAGGCACGTGGTTCAAATCCACCAGATGCTCTGCTGGAGGAGGAGGGGCAATCTCCTCATGTACCAGTCAGATATGATTTGATGGTACACACACACACAAAAAACAAACCAAAAACCCCTGACATCCTTGTTCTTTTTTGCATTCTGTATACCTACATTGTTTGCTTGCTTGCTTTTCCCCCTTTTCTTTATTATTATTATTACATTTTAATGAAAATTTACAGAGACTTTGGATTTCCATTCATTCATTGTTGCATGACATCCTTGTTCTTTAGCACTTCTTTGAGAAGTCCCTAGGGAGCAGACTTTCCCAATGCAGTATGTCTGCTGCTGTTGTTGTTGTGTACCATTGAATCTGATTCAACTGGTACAGGAGGAGATTGTGTCTCCTTCTCCAGAAGAGCATCTGGTGGATTCAAACTGCGAGCCTTCAGGATTGCAGTGCAGCTTCTTACCACTAGACCACTAGAGCTCCCCACGCTGTTATCATGGGCTTTGTGGATCAAGTAAACTAAAATCACTGTCAACGTCAACCTATTCTCCATCTATCATGATGTTGCATATTGATTCAATGATGACAATTACTGTTTTCTTGATGTTGAGGTGTAGCCAATATTGAAGACTATAGTCTTTGATCTTCTGCAGCAAGT